CTGAGAAACTCGCTCAGCTGATGTTGTGTTGCAGGAGCTCCATGGAGATGAAGCCTGCTGGCTTTATTTTGCTCTGAAAATCCCTTTGGCTTAAAGCTGCTTCCAGAATCTCATCCTTAGTGGTACTTCAGGCTTGTGACAGGGGAACCTGCTGGGTGTTAAGGGGGCTGAGACTGGGGCAGAGCCTGGGTGCTTTGGTGGCTGAGAGGTCCATGGAGCTTGTCCTTCAGGTGACAGGCACATTGCTGAGGGCAGTGTGCCTCTGCCTGCCTCTTCCCTCTGTAATCTGCAATTTGTATTTCAAAGTAGAGGGATTTAAGATGTTTTCTGTGCAGTTGTGGTCCGTGGGGGAGCAATCAGGTGCCACGGTGAGTGGCACTGGAGCTGCCTGCGGTGGCTGGTTGCGTAATCTGGTGTTGCTAAAGCAGCAAGTGAAGGTATTTGCAGCAGTCACTTGGAAACTGGGATAATTCAGGTCTGAATCAAGCTCAGGCTCAAACAGGTTGTGGAATTTATTTATACAACGCCACCGCCGGGGCGTGTGACGTTACAGAGCCAAACAAACAGCGGTTCCCAGCCCCAAGGGCTTGTGCTTGGGTGTTAGATAACGAGGTGTGGGGTAATTACAGCCAGGGACATGGGTGGAGGGGTTAGGAGAAGGGTGAGGGTTACATGACATGTGCCTCGTTAATGGCAGCGTGGAGAAATTGTGGGTGTGCCCGGGGTTGTGGGGAGGATGGAGGTCAGCTTTGCAGAGGGGGAGGTGTCGAGTGACTGGCAGGAGACTCGTGGATTAAGGAGGGAAAGCGGAAGGAGGCAAAATGAAACCAGTCAAGCGTGCGGGGAGGGGCTGGTTCACACGGAAGCTGACGTGCAGAAGCAGCGCCACTCAAGGGTCTTGAGGAATTTGGGTGTTAGAGCAGCGACTGGGAACCCCTAAACAGGTGTGTTTGATGGGAACAGAGGAACAGGTAAAGAAAGGGGGTCCAGCCTGGCTGCTGGGAGCTTTGTGTTCCTCATCTCCCCTCTCCCGTGGTGCCAAAGTGCCTTCTGCCCAGCCACCTGTAGTTGGTGGACTCTTTGGGGTGATTCAGTCTTCACTCAGCGCTGAAGACCTTGAGTTGGTTGTTCCCATGTGCCCTTTGCTCTGGGCAAATGGATTTTTTTTTTTTTTTTTTTTTTTTTTTTTTTTTTTTTTTTTTTTTTTTTTTTTTTTTTTTTTTTTTTTTGTGTGTCTTAAAGAGCTGCTTGGTGGTTGTAACACTGTTACTGTGTCACTAATTTCCTTTTTCCTTCCCTTTTGCTCTTCAGAAATGCCATTCTCGTGAGTGTGCAAGGAACCTACAGAACTGTAATGTCTAACCCTACATGGAATAACAACTCTTGGAAGGTACCACCCTTTTTTAACTACGTGGCTTTGTTACAGGTTGGGTTAACGATGATCTTTTGCTTTCACAGCTCGAAATCGAAGAACTGTTGTCTTATGTAATGCTGTCTCTTGGAAAGGGCTGGCAGGGCTCTGATGCTCCAACCTCTGATTTCCAGAAAAACTGTGCAACCCAGCCCTTGGCCCGGGGGTGCCGGGGGGCCATCCCTGTTTCTCAGTGAGCGATCTCTCTTTAGGCAGGTCTGGTGTTGCCTTAGGAACAGATGGTGGTTTCTATTCAGAGAGCTGAGCTAAGCTTTCCTCATACTTGGTGGCCATCCTTGGAAACATATTGCCCTTCTTCAGTGATGCACGATGGCTCATCTGTTTGTCTTCAGTGACCTTCTGGATCGTCTTTTCCTGAGGCTTCCAGCCATATTTATCAGGGATACTGTGATAAAGTGCCGTTACACTTTAACATTTAGATGGAAATGCCTTGGCTGTTTCGTGCTGCATTAACCAGCTCTGAGGCGTTGGCTTGTTCCGCTGTCTGATCCCGCAGTGATGCCATAATACTGAATTTTGGACCGCCCTGCACATTGCCATGGCAACAGACTGATGTCACACGCTCAAGGACATGACTTCAGCGTACGATCATGCAGAGGCACAATCAGATTTGTGAAGGAGAAAGCTGACTAATGCACATCTCAAAAGCAAACGAGGGGAATGCAGGTTACAGGCTGACCAAGCAAGGTGCCTCAGGACGAAAGCTCCCCGCTTAGAGAAGGGGCTGATCATGTCTTTAGGACAGGAACAGTTGTCTTGCTGAGCTTCTCTTTACCTTGCAGAAGCAGATGACTTGCAGGTGTCCCGTATCTTAAAAGCAGGTGGTGTTCTGGGGTGGGGGAAGGCTCTCTGGTTTCGGAGCTCTGGAAGGGCATTTCTTTGTTTTAATTTTAAAGAACTTCTCAGTGGTCTTGTAAGCACCCTGAGAGTGCTTCAACTAGCTTAATGTTGTTCAAACAGTTTAATTGGTTTTCCAAAGCTTTTATTTTATCCCTAACATTGGAAGGTGAAAGGGGAACTCCGCATCTGCATTACGGTCACATTTTCCTATATCCTATTAGCAGATTCCAAGATTGTTTAATGTGATCTCCACCCATTTCATTTGGCTGCAACCTTTGCTCCCATGAAAACAAGGCTGATTGTTCTGAATTGCTGTGTGTATGTGCTTTGGCACGGCATGAAGGTACCTATAATAACACGGCCATTGTCTGGAAAAAAAGGCAGTTTGCAGTAATAACTACAAATAAAAAGGGTGCAGTGCCGGGGCAAGACAGATAATGGGTTGTTTTCCCACCCATTGCACGGAGGAGCCTCTCAACACGGTCACCCCTCAGCAGGACAGGGCTGCAGGGTTTCAGCCTGGGATGTGAATATTGGGAATAAGGGACCGAAATATTTGCACGTTGTTCCAAGTTTCCCTTTCCTGGCCGCGGTTCCGTTCGCTCCTATCTAGGGATGGGGAGGCTGAATGACTTTTGCACAATGCGCTGTTTTATTTGCATGCTGTGAGCGGTTTAACAAGTGTGTGTGTGTGTGTGTGCTAAATGGAGCATTCCCACTTTTTCAGTCAGCAGCTGACGCGCCCTTAAAATCAGGAAGGAAAAAAAAAAAAAGGAAGAAAAAGGAAAGTACCTTTAGGTTGAACAGTGGGGTTTTGAGGGGTGACACTGTGCTGTGTGTGTGAGTGGATGGCAGGTCGTGCCAAGCCTGAAACGCTGTGAGATTCAGCGAAGAACCTCCTCAGACTCCTTCGTGCTGAAGGAATTTTTGCCCATCCCTGCACTTTTTGTGGAGTAAAAGCTGTTGCAGCGCAAAGTTTGGGAGCAACGTGATTGTTTTGAGCCTTTTGGCGTCACGGGGAGTTGGGGGGTGTTTTAACAGAAACTGGCACTTCTTTTGGCAAGTTTGGGTTGCCTCCCAAGGACAGGAAGCTGTGGAGTGTTAAACAAGAGGCAGGGAAGGAGTTTTGACAACCCCGTCTGTAAATCAGGATGCTTGAATTGAGATCCTGGCCTCGAGCTGAAAGGATTGGAAGCTCTGCAGGATCACCAGTGATTCGAGCTGCTCTGCAGAACAAGAAGATAATGGTGATGGGCTATCAAGAAGGGCAGCCCTTGCTAAAAAAGAGGAGCCTTTGTGATACGGTCGAAGGGAAGGAAGTCTGGAGAACTCAGAAAAGGAACAGATGTTTTTGGAGGTGGGGAAAAAGTTAACTATCCCTGTAGTTCGCTCTTGCAGCGGAGCCAGCAGAAGGAACTTGATACCAAACAAAAGTAGGCACACCCAGGATTTAGCACAGGGATCCTGGAAAGCCGATTTTTTTTTTTTTTTCACAGCTGCAGTGCTTTTGTGTTTGACAAATAACCTTACACAGTGGCATCTTGCAGAGACAGATGTGAATAATATGTGTGAGTGCGTGCAGAGGTGTGTGGAGAAGTTTGAAGGTGCTTGCTGCTGTTCTTTAAACAACAGTAGAAAAAATACTGATGTACGAAAATGATACTCCAAGTGGGGAGCCAGGAGGGGATGCAGTTCCCTGAGAGGGAAATAATGACAGAAGATGCATTAAAAAAGAGGGAGAGGCTGCTGCTAGGGTGTGTTTATGTACTGTGATGACTGCAAGTGTGATAGAACAGATTGCTGATCCTGTGTATCAAAGTACCAGTGGCGATGATTTTTCAAGTTGTTGAAACTTGCATCTACAGAAAAAAAAAAATACATTTTTTTCTTCCTAATAGGTTAATCCACTGTAATTGACTGTGAAATAAACCTGGGGGAATTTTCCCATCTGTATGTGATGCACAGCTTCTTTGCTGACTACTTGGCAACGGCACCTTCAGATAATTAAAAGCTGTTTTTTAAACCCACTCTTTCTTTCAACTCCTGTTTTTCTGCATCTTGCTCCTTCTCTGAGAGCTGTCAGTCACTCTTCTGGTTAAGGTGTGAAGATCTAGATTATGTGCTTTTAGGAAAGGAAAACTGCATGTGATCTCTTTACTTTTGAAAAAAAACCTAGGTGGACATGTAAAGCTTTTTAACATGCACGTCACCCCTCCAGTCCTAAAAGTAACTCAGCTTTCCCAGTCCGGAGTGGGAAAACTATAAATTAACTTTGACTTTCGGAGCTCCGGTGCCACTTGCCCCTCTAAAATCAATAACCAAGCCTCCCTGGTTTGCTGAGGAGGCAGTTCTAATTACCCAGAAATGACAGGAGTTGTTCAGCACAGGGATCCTCTGGTTTCAGCGCATAGTTTCGTTGCTCGGTGGTGTTTTGAGAGGCCGAAGGGTGGGATGCAGCTCCAGCGAGTTTCCAGATTCCTAACAGCGTGAGGGACTGTTTTTAATAGTGATGATAAAAACAGCTATTCCCAGTTGGAGTTTAGTCAGTGGTACAATTATCAGAGCTATGAAACAGTGCAGGGATGGCTCGGAATGGAAAAACTACGGCTCGGAGCTTTATTTTCTTGAGGGAGCCGTTTGAAACGACTTCCTGCGAACTCGTGGAGAATTAGCGAGAGATGTCAAAGGCTGAGGGGTCAAGCTTGGTGATTGCTTTGCTAACTTAGTTTTTTTGGGCTCCAAGCAAGCTTTCAGCTGGCTTTTGGGGGAGAGAGAGAGCTGGTTGTTGAAAGCCAGCGTGGTGAGTGGGATTTCTGGAGCCACAGTTTGGGGGTGCCTCATTTTCTGCTTCGCTTCTAAGTGGTTTGGTGGGGTTTGATTTCTCTGAGAAGAGAATATTGATTGTACTGGGTTAGATAGCAATGCTTATGTTTTTTTCCTTTTCTGTCTTGATTATAAAGCTGTTTTTAGACTGTTAGAGCAGGTCCAGAGGAGGCCATGGAGATTCTCAGAGGGCTGGAGCCCCTCTGCTCTGGAGACAGGGTGGGAGAGCTGGGGTTGTTCAGCCTGGAGAAGAGAAGGCTCTGGAGTGACTTTAGAGCCCCTTCCAATGCCTTAAGGGGGCTTATAAAAAAAGAGGAAGAGTGACTTTTTATATGGGCAGATAGTGATAGGACAAGGGGGAACAGTTTTAAAATAACAGAGGAGAGATTTAGATTAGATATTGGGAAGAAATTCCTTCCTGTGAGGGTGGGCAGGCCCTGGCACAGGGTGCCTAGAGAAGCTGTGGCTGCCCCTGGATCCCTGGAAGTGTCCAAGGCCAGGTTGGACAGGGCTTGGAGCAACCTGGGCTGGTGGAAGGTGTTCCTGCCCACGGCAGGGGGTTGGAACTGGGTGATTTTTAAGGTCCCTTCCAACACAAACCATTTCATGATTCTGTATTTTCTGTTGTTTTGCATTAAAAAGGTTAAAAAAATCTTGCGAAACAAACTTCTGTTTGCTTGTAGAAAAGTCCATACTTCCAAAACGGCCACTAACCTGGAAAGAACTGCACCAGAATTTTCTGGAGTCCTGTTGTAGGTCCGTGCTACTGAATTTTGAAGATGAATCATGGGAAAGGAAAGACTTGCAGCAAAAGTTCTCACAGTTCACACGACACTTGAGTGTGCAGAAGCTGTCCTTTACAGAAATTTTAGTGCTATTTTGGGGCCTTTCTTTTCTCTTGAAAGAATGAATTGCAGTGCTATGCGTGGAATTTCTGAAAATTTAATTGTGTTAGTTGCTAGGTGTATAGACTGTAAAGCTCTGAAAATATCAAACTATTTTTTACTTCAATAACTCTGAGTTATTAATGGAAAAAAAAATCCTTTATCTTTTTTTTTTTTTTTTTTTTGCTCTATTTTTAAAGACCCACAGAATTGGTAGGTTTCCAAATTAGCTTAGGTTTTAAAAGGTCTTCTGAAAAAATCGTGCAGGAAGATGATGTATTTCATCTTGCTCTCTACCGCAGTTCACCAGTCAAAAATCCCTGAGCTTATCTGCAGCCCAGTTATTTATTTCAGCAGATGTTCTGTGTATGTTGTTCTTTTATGAATTTGTGTAAAACCAGGTGATGCTTT